ATTATTACAAGATTTTAATTTTATCTTAAAAGTGTATCTGAAGCCCAAGTGTTTTCTGTTCTAGACCGGATAGGAAATGGTTAGAACTGTCTCCTTTACTAGATTTAACTTCATATCTTGTCCTGGAGACACAACAGGAAGTGAGAGGAAATCTTTCCAAAGTGACGGAAATCCGCTTTTCTTTGTCACCAGAACAGGTTGAAGATTTCCCCTCGGTTCCTCTTCCAGTGAGAACTGTAAATGTTTGGATTTCCCATCATTACTGTCATCTCAATGACACTTGGACGATTTGGGCAAATCTCCCCAGTGGGGACACAGAGGGCGATAAGACAAGGGGTCTGACCCTTCCATCTAAAACTAAAAGAGATGTCAGGGGAGCCTCCCCCCCCCTTCACATCAAGAGCCATCTTCACATCAGAAGCCACCCTTTCACATCAGTGTTCCCCCTTCACATCAATGTTCCCCCTTCACATCAGGAGCTCCCCTTACACATCAGTGTTCCCCCTTCACATCAGTGTTCCCCCTTCACATCAGGAGCTCCCCTTACACATCAGTGTTCCCCCTTCACATCAGTGTTCCCCCTTCACATCAGTGTTCCCCCTTCACATCAGAAGCTCCCCTTACACATCAGAAGTCCCCATTACACATCAGAAGCTCCCCATTACACATCAGAAGCTCCCCATTACACATCAGAAGCTCCCCATTACACATCAGAAGCTCCCCTTACACATCAGAAGCTCCCCTTACACATCAGAAGCCCCCCCCACACATCAGAAGCCCCCCCCCCACCCCACAAGCACCTCCCCTTACACATCAGAAGTCCCCCTTACACATCAGAAGTCCCCCCTACACATCAGAAGTCCCCCTTACACATCAGAAGTCCCCCTTACACATCAGAAGTCCCCCTTACACATCAGAAGTCCCCCTTTCACATCAGAAGCCCGCCTTTCACATCAGTGTTCCCGCTTCACATCAGTGTTCCCCCCTAACATCAGGAGCCCCCCTTTCACATCAGAGTTCCTTCTTCACATCAGGAGTCCCCCTTTTACATCAGGAACCCCCCCCCCCACATCAGAAGCCCCCTTTCACATCAGGAACCCCTTTCACATCAGGGGCTCTCCCCTTCACATCAGAGCCCCCTTTCACATCTAAGTCCCCCCTTTACATTAGAAGCCTGTCTGCACAATGGAAAAGCATGATGGGCTGTGAAAATTTTAAAGCACCCCTTAGGAAGGCAGAAGGCACCCTGGTTGAGAACAGATGGGCTTTTAGCCCAATTCTAGCCTTAACTTTGACTTTTGAGCAAACTTTCTCCTAAATCAGTTACAAACGGTTTGTTTAAGCCCTGAAGAAGGGGGAGACCTTTCTCCCGAAACAGTTGGTATATATTATGTTTTTAATCATTAAATATTTTAAAGCAATCACCACAAATGCTTTCCTATACATATTAAAGCTAATTTCCATCTCCTACAGCCTAGCGTCCATCTATAGGACCTGGGTTACCAGAAGTCATATATGAAGGGCATATCCTGAATAACAAACATATCAACCGCAGTCAGTGCAATTCTATTTTTACTCTGGAATTAGCGGGGTTCCATATGATGTAGAAGGTTTTCTTATCCATGGTGGACTTATAATGCCATGTCAAGGGGGACTAATTATAGTATTTATTGCTGGATCTAACTGTGCACGGACCGTGTTCTGGTACCTTGCTGGTTATTGTATGTTCCATGAAATTACCATTACCTTACTGGCTCAGGAGATTGTAATTGTATTACTTGTATACAGCAGAGTGTGTTGTGGTTTTGGCACAGGTCTTGGTAGTGGAATTGTCTACAGGTGCCACTTTAAACCAGTCACAAGACCCGATAGAAAGACTGCCAATGATCAATGGCTCTTAATGGTCTTCAGTTTGGATCTTCTCAGTCATCTCTTCTCTTGAGAAGTGAAGGGTAGCAATATAGCGAGAAAGGTATGGACACCTCAGGAAACCTCTGAAGGCCCCAGGAATCATTCTGTGTCTCCCACCATAAAATAAAATTGTCAATTGTATTACTTGTATACAGCAGAGTGTGTTTTGCGGTTGTGGAATTGCTACAATTAAAGTCACAAGACCCTATAGAAAGACTGCCAACCATCAATGACTCTTAATGGTCTTCAGTCTGGATCTTCTCCTGAGTTAACTTCTCTTGGGAAGTGAAGGGTATCAATATGGCAAGAAATAAGTATCAACACATCGGGAAACCTCTGCAGGCCCCACCAACCGCTCTGTGTCTTCCACCATAAAAAAAATGTTAATTGTATTACTAGTATACAACAGTGTAACATTTTGGTACAGGTCATGGTAGTGAAATTGTCTACAGCTGCCACTTTAAACCAGTCACAAGACCCTATAGAATGACTACCAACCATTGATGGCTCTTTAGTCTTCAGTTTGGATCTTCTCCTAAGTCATCTCTTCTCTTGAGAAGTGAAGGGTACCGATATGGTGAGAAATAGGCATCAATATATCGGGAGACCTCTGCAGACCCCCAGCGATCATTCTGTTTCCCACCATTGATACCCTTTATCGTTCATGCAATGTAACCCTAAGTTGGTCCAGATTGGGTGAAATCTCAGGGCAAGTCCCAATGGTGTGTGAATAGAACAAGGATGGGTGTACTTAACACTGCCTGCCATACATAGGAGAAGATCCCATAACTGAAATGTTTATGTTCCTTTTGAAAAGCTACTTCCAAGAACCCATCAAAGATTATTGTAGGTAACAGAAGTGCTGTGTATCTCATTACCCAAAATGTATGCAATGTCAAAGATTTTTATTACATTTTAAGTTGAGGAGAGATGGTTAATACCTGAAATTATTTTGCCTTTGTCCTGCTGGGGAGGTTAGGGCAAGGGTTAATTCAATTGGGCATTTTTCATCTGGAGGCTTCCTTGAAGAGCATGGCGTATGAAATAGGCTCCGACAGCAAAGCATGCTGGGTAATGGACACACTTTTTTTTTTTGCAGTTGTTTAATGTACCAAATAAACGCGTCTTTCTCTCGTACCTTCACTGTTCTTGAGCCCCATTTAGCATTACAGGATAAACGCTCGCTATGTGTACGTTGTAAGTGCCCTGACGTCATAGGTACAAACGTACAAAGGGTCACATTACTGTCAACATTACACAGTTACAGCGGTCTTTCATAGTGTAAGATGAGTGCAATCTCACTTCTCACCAATAACTTTACCGCTGACAATGTCATATGGTAAGGTGACACCAAGCAGAGCCCCCGCACCGGTTTTTGAATTGGTTGCTGCATGTTATACAATGTACATGCCTCTCATTTTATTATACAGTTAAGGAAGACACAACAGGATACATACATATAGCTTATTGTCAATGAGCCAGGTACAATAGAGGCAGCGGTTGTGCAATGAGGTTGAAGAGTTATTCTAAACTTGCGCACCAATTTAAAAGATCTGAAGAGCATGACTCTACTGACTGAGGCAATTAAATTCCCATATTAACTTTGACAGAGATGGGTCTTTGTATGGGCGTTCCCCAGTATGATAGATATCCTTAGTCCAAAGTCGAGCCTATCGCTTCATAAAAACAAGCACCCTCCAGTCTGTCATTCACTTTTTTTTTTTTAAGGAAAGGGTAGGAACAAATTCCAATCATGTGCTGCCTGCATCCATCATGGGCCAGATTGAGTAGAAGGTTCAAGAGGGACTTGCCAGTATGCTGGTCATTCAAAAATGTGCAGATATCTCCTTCTGATGCTCCCACCATCTGTGGCCTCTCTAAAGCTCAGTCCTGGTCACATCTCATGCATACATTTGAAGGCAGAAATGTCAGGTGGCCTTTCCGGGCAAATTACCTGATTGGTAGCCACCAAAAATTTTAGTTGGTACCAAACGTTTCTGTAATCATTTTGCCAGATACCCCTTTAGCCATCACTGGGCCGTAAACCCAAAAATTTAATAGATACTTCAAAACTTCAAATAGGAGCTAGTGACGAAAAGATTCATCCTTCTATATATCTGAATCTATGATAATTTACACATACAGTATGGTGTCCACTGAAGAGCTCTGCTATTTGTGTAACTTTCCCAGACTTATAGCTGGTTGACACCAAGTCAGCAATGAACAACAAACAAGGCTACAAGCTTGTACTCCTAATTAGTGAACACTTCTAGAAAGTTACTTTGATGCACCTTATAAATGCTTTTGTTTTCTGGTTTCTTCCCAAATTCGTTAATTTAAAGGCCCACTGCATCTAATACCATTCCCTTTACAACTCTAATGTTTAATGCTAGTCATTACAAGTCCTTACAATATAAAATGTCTACTAAGTAGGGTTGAAGTGGAGTGAGATCAGTTCAAGAGCCCTTCACATCCTTCTGAAGATTCCTGGATGAGGTTGATCGTTCTCCGGGACACGCCGTCATCCAGGGACAAGTCTGAGAACATAGTGCTTGCGGGAGACAGTGACAGGCGAATAGGAAGGGGTGTCCATTTCATCTCATGAATTTTCTGGTTCAGAGATGAAAAGCTCCTTGTACAGTGGAGGGAACCTCTCCCACGCTATGCCCGGGTACATCTGTCGGAAGACATTGAGTTTTTCCAGGTGAAGCTGGCAAATCTCAGACAGCCTTTCCTTGTGTGGAAGCTGAAAAGAGGGCAAACATTTAGCTTAGCATTGGTTTGTAAATGTGGCAGCTTGCAGAAGAGACAATGCAAATGGTTTAGCAGTAGTGAAGATGTTTATATAGATGGTATTGGTGCCCAAGGTATAGACACTGGTGCCCAAGGTATAGACACTGGTGCCCAACACATAGACATTGGTGCCCAATGTATAGCCACTGGTGCACAACGTATAGACATTGCTTCTACCCATCTACATCATATACCTGCTGTGCTACTTCATTGAAAAAGGTACTCTGTACAGCACTTCCTAATATCTCAGCACAGAAATATTGAAACAAGAGGACAGTAAACCACATAATGTGGGGTTGAGCCTTGATTAAAGGATATCTAAAACCAAATTTCTCCAAAGTGAGGCAACAAAAGTCCCCATTAGAAGATGTTCCCCTTTTTGGATTTCCCATCACTTTCAGACCATTGGTCAACAGGAGAGATCGAGAGGGTGACCCTCCCCAGCAAAGACACAGATCCTTCCGCACCTTCATCCAAAACTGAAAAGATAGTTGGCTTTAGGTACACAGGTTATGAATACAAAAATAACAAGATTGTGAGGTTACACAGACACCTCTGAAGCCATCATAGAGCTCTGAGCATGTGTTGAGAAATGGAATGTCCAATGTCTTCCAATGTCCTCACCTTGCTTATTATGCCCTCCCGATGGGTCCTCCGCAGTAGGTTCCTGAAGGCCAACTGTAGCCTTCTGTGAAGAGTTTCCACCTTCGGCTTGTCTTGTAGCCAGGGTCGGCCTGGGGTAAGTTTAAAGCTGAAGTTTAGTCTTATATGTTACCTTCCCTGGTTCCTCCCTTCCCCATAATCCCTTTTTAGAACCTTTTTTACAATATTTAGAATTTCCTATTCTATACACCCATCAAGCATTTTTCATTGGTCGTCCTAATGATCAGGAGAGTGGGACTTACTGGGATCCATTAGCATCATGGCACTGTAGAAGGCCATTTCGTGTTCAGAGAGATTCAATGCTCCCAGGATATGGCACAAATCAAACATGCCGCTGATGAGATCGATGCACCCTGCAAGAAAAACATAAAGGGGTGATTTGGGATCTACCTGTCTGTCCTTCAACTAGATCTCCAAAAAATTTGGAGGCACATGTCTCAGTGGGGAACCCGTGACTCTTTAGTGCCCATGCAAAAGGTCTAGATCATGCAGGTGGCTAAAAAAGTACAATGACTGCTATGGATCGAGGTAACCATCATATGACAACATTACATACGGGTCGTTCCACATTTTATATAAGCTTGATCAGTTTTTAATTGGAAGAAGATATCATTTTATTGAACACTCTGATCAGCCATCAGAAATGGGACTTTAACCCTTGTGGTATTGTGTGGCAATCCCACTGTAGAATTGGGTGTTATGATCACCTGGGACTCTCAGCCAGATGGGCTGAGAGGTGTCAGGAACCAAGAGTTTGTCGGGATTATGCTTGGGATCTTGGAACTGGGAGGTTTCAAGGTGATTCAGGAGGGAAGATGAGATCCCCAGGCCTTGGTCCAGGCTTTAGCAATGGCCAGCACTCGATAATTGCACAGGTGTGCACAGCCATTAAGAAAAGGATGCTGGCTAGGGGAATTAGCTCCTGCTGGGAAAGAGGAACAGACCATGTTCAGGGGTCAGGAGAACGCCCCCAGAAGTCAGAGAGGAGTCAGGCGAGCTCCTACTGGGATAGGAACGGACTGTGTTCAGGAGTCAGGAGGACTTCCCCAGAATCTAAAGTGGAGTCAGGTGGTGAGGCTAGTAGAGCCGTGAGCCTGAGCGGCCACCAGTACAAATGTGGGACAGCACTTCAAAGAGGACCAGTGAGTCAGAAGTGCTAATGTTTAAAGTGGAATCCAGGAGGCTATTCTTGTGTTGTTTTGAAGCCTTGCATGAATGTTATGCTGAACAACCCCTTTGATGGTATCCAAGATTGATGTATGAACTTTGTTTTTGAATAAAAGTGGGCTACCAAGCCCTTAAACCGAAGATATTGCGAGTAGACAGCATTCTTAAGCGCTCACCATGTGTGCTAATATCCCCAAACATCACACCCTTTAAAATGAAGTATGAATGGGGCTAGCAACGTAAAGTGTATCTAAACCTGAGACCTGAAATGTTCCTTTATTTCCTATTTCTGTGACACGTTGTCACTGGTACAGGAAGTGAGGGGGATTCTCGGAGGGTTCTAACCTTTTTCTATTCTTCCCGAAACTGAAAAACAAAAGCTTTGGCTGCAGTCGGACTTTAACAGAAAGCTAACCACTCCCTTTTTCACACTTTTAGTCGACATTTTGCCATTCAGTTCTTACCCAAGGAATGGAAGAGTTCAAGTTGAGCGTATTTGCCTTCAAAGAATACAGTGTTATTGTAACAGTTAAATGCTCGGCTCATCCTTATAAGCAGTAACTCCATGGCACCTAGAAGACAAAATAGACATCACTTAGGCCCTGTGAAGACTGCATAGAGGAGAAGACCTATATCTGTACCCTTGGCTTCTTCTGTGCTTGGAAGTGGCTCTTCCTATTGAGCCACCTTGAATGGCTCCTTGCCTGATCTCTTGGTAAGTCATCTTTGATACCCAATTTCTTATTGAACTATGAACTCCATGTTCCTCCCATAAACTTACTAATGTAGCCATGCCCCTGCACTTCCTGTTTGCCAGATTATTGTGCTTTTGCCAGTATCTTGCTCTTGTAGCTTCTGCTACAACCCTTGTTGCTTCTGCTGTGTCCTTAAATACCACTACTCATGTACTGACCCTTGGCTGTTGTTTAATGGGCCATTCTTCATTACTCTTTACCTCAGACGTGGTCCCTTTGAGACAACTTGATATCTGACTACACTTCTGCCTTGTTCCCATACTGCTATAGTTGCTCGTGTACTGAATCATAAACTTGGCTGCTGTTTCAGCTACTGGACACCAAGCCCAATCCCAGATCGTGGGGGTATGTTTAAAAGAACATGTCTATGATCTATGACATACCAGAATGTCTGTGGACACCTGACCATCAGACTTAAATTAGTTTCTGGCCGTCCCACCCCAAATCCATGACCATTAATTTGGCATTGCCTCCCCTTTATGGCTGTAACATCCTCTGGGAAGGCTTTTCAAAAAGTGTGTCTGTGGGATTTTGTGCCCATTTGTGAGGTCAGGTACTGATGTTGGACGAGAAGACCTGGCTCACATTTGGCATTCCAATTCATTCCAAAGGTCTTCAGTAGGGTTGAGGTCAAGGCTCTGCACACCAAACTGGTCCAACCATGTCTTTATGGAGCTGGTTTTGTGCACAGGCATACAGTCATGGTGAAACAGAAACAAGTCTTCACCAAACTGTTACCACAAGGTTGGAAACCACAATGGTCTACAATGTCTTGGTATGTTGTAGTATTAACAGTACCCTTCACTGCAGACACCTAAACTCGGTCACTGGGAGGGAGATCCACATACATTTGCCAAAATTGTGTATATAGTATGTTTAGAAGAAGATATCTATGACATACAGTATATGCAGAGACACATAGGCTTCAGCTAGAAGACCATGGTGAGGATTCCATTACCTGCTTTCAAGAGTACAATCTGGTCATTTGGGTTCAAGTCCATGAATCCACTAAGCCGTTTGGCAAATTCCACGATATACTGAATGGCATTGGTGATGTGACATACACAGCGTTCCCACATTTGGTCCATCGGCTGTTCAAAGACAATGAAACATATGGCATATGTGTTAACTGTTGCACAGATCTAAAGAGATATGGGGTTGGTTTGTTCAACCTGACATATTTAATACCTCTGCATGTTGGAGGCCACTAATAATTTGAATGGGCCATGTCTGGAGCTAGAAAACAAACATCTAAACAGGTTCAGTTCAACTTGCCTTATGATGGAAGCTTTGCAACTCTGTTGTAGAGAAGGTTTCCCAGCGCAGCAAGTGTAGGTTCTCCTGTCTGAACTGGCATGTTTCTTGGTGGGCAAACACTACGTTCTGCGTCAAAAGCTCTGTGGAATTCAAAGACACAAGGACAGAAAAGATAAGGGAAGGCTCTCATGGTGATAATATCTCAGAGCTTAGGAAACTCAGACATTTTAGAAGCGCCTATTGGACTTCCAACCAGTTCAGATGCACTCACCGAGCTCTGTTGCAGAAATCAGGCACTCTGGAAGTAGACAACTGCCAAAATTGATGTTGCAGTAAGACTCCATGCTCTGAAACACACTTGGTCGCGTGTGCTCCAAGTGAAGTTGCTGCTCTCTGAGGTAGCTTTTTCGAAGCAAAGCTTCTGACTGGGTCTTTTCTGGAGTACCGTGGTGGAGGACAAGAGGCTCCTTCTGCGACTGTGTCCTTGGTGCTGAACACGAACGAGCGGAGCAGGAAGACTCCCACCGGCCGTGGCCTGTCCATATTGAATGTTGGATGGTATGAGCCAGTTCAGGAGACGTTGGTTGATCCACCTGAGGTTCTGTTCTCTGTAGGATAGAAGACACCTCTGATCTTTGCTCTCTCAGTCGAAGTTTCTGCACCTCGGCCTGGATGATATCGTGCTGCTTCTTGGACATCCGGCCAAACTTCACAGCTATAATGGAAATTGAAGACGTTCACCTTTTAAATGGGTCAAATTGCTACACATTTTGTGTTGAAGTACTGTAAATTCTCGTGTGACTGGCAGGTATCGGCAACTAATGGACTGCTCAGAAATATATGGTAGGGGGTATTGGCTACGTGTTTAGATGAAGCACTGGGATCTTGAGGATATACAAATAAACACACAAAAGTAATACTTTTTGTGTTTCTATAATACTTGTGGATAGTTAACGGCCATAATGGGTTTGTCTATATCGGCTCCTCCCTCTGCCCACCAGACGTGTCCATAATAGACTTCCTGTGGTCGTATAGAAGCCTATTATGAGGTTGAACGGATATTCTTAGGCCGTTCTGGTGACCCACATTTGCCAGGCTCTCCACCTTAGACACGGACGGAGCGGAGGCAAAGCAGACACAAACAGTCCTGTCCACTGGCCAAGCCGGATGTGCGCGGGGTAGATGGCTTCCCTTTGAAGTCTTTTTTTTTCCCGCTCGTAAACAATTACCATGAATTAAAAAAGGTCGGTACCAGGTGGACTCCATGTATAAGGTGTATCTCCAGCCAAAACCTTGGCCCAGTGCAAGGAATGTCAATTGTAGTAGAATTGTAATTCTATAATTGTAGTAGAAACACCTCCCACAAGTGAATCCCAAATTGGTTAGCCGTCTAGCTCATAGCAACCAGAGTTGCTCCGGCTGGTGTCCCATCCAGCTCCTGGCAACCAGTGACGTCACCGGTTGCCAGGAGATTGGCAAGACACCAGCCGGAGGGTCCCAGGTTGCTAAGAGCTGGGTGGGGATATGTGTAAGGGCCGTACACATCTCCCTGCCTGGATCTTAGCAACCAGAGCAGTCGGGGAGATCTGTATGCTGGCGGTACGCCGGCCAGAGCATCCCAGGTTGCTAAGTGCCGGGATGCTCTGGCCGGCGTCCCCTTCCCCAGGCTTCTGCTGTAGGCAGGCTGAGAATCACCCTCTCTATTTGTCCTGCTGGCCATTGTGCTCGGGACAGAAGGTGATGGGAAATCTAAAATGTTACAGTTGTCACCAGAACAGGAAGTGAGTGCAGATCTGTTTAACTAAGAGGGGATTTCCTTCACTGTGGAGGGAAAAGGTGCCCAACAGTCTATCCAAACATTTTGTCATTCCGCGCCTCCGCCTTACCATCCCGCGACATCCCCAAGGACAGGCACTTCTGCAGGCGGCAGTGCTGGCACCGGTTCCTGTTAGAGCGATCGATCTGGCAACTCTGCTGCTGGCTGCAGGAGTAAATTGGCTTCCCCTGCTGGCTCCTGCGGAAGAACCCCTGCCGGGATATTACATGAGGACATGTTACCACATTGTTACCACATGGTGAATCTTCCTTCCTACCGACCTCAACCTATGCGTCAACTTTCACAAATACATAGACCCCGTAGTGTAAAGAGACGGATAACCAACACTGTGCTGTCTTTTTAGCAAACCCTAGTGCTCTGGGAATCCTTTGTCGCATAGTCATTTTTTTATTTGGAAAACAAAAATGGCATGTGCAGAGTAATAAAAAAAAAAAACGTGCTGGTTATAAGGAGTGATATGTCACATGTTGTCCATCAAGAAAGCAACGCCACAGAGGAAGGCGAGTGAGAAATATTCCTATGTCATATTTTATGCTTATATGGTATATGACCCGGTGTTCTATCAAAAATTGTGACTGGTTGGAATGTGTGACCGGTCACGTCACACATTCTAATGTAATCCCGCCCACTTTTTCGGCGTTGGAATATGTGACCGACAAAAGGAGAAGCATTTCAAAGCTTTCTCAGCTGTTCCAGGGCAGATCGGCAACGCAGATGGTATGTGCAGGAGAACCGATCTGTCCTGGAACAGCTGATCGGTGCTCAAATGTCACTTCTATCGACTTTGTGGAATGTGAGATCGCAGTCACAGAGTCGGATAGAAGTGACATTTCAGGACCGATCAACTGTTCCAGGGCAGATCGGTTCTCCTGCATATAGCATCTGTGATGCCGATCTGCCCTGGAACAGCTGCAATTCTTCACCTTTTGCCGGTCACACATTCCGCCGCCGAAAAACTGGGCGGGATTAGGTTAGAATGTGTCACCACGCCACCGGTCACACATTCTAACGCAGTCACAAACTTTGATAGAACACCGGCAATGTATTACAATGGCCTCCCTCTCGTGTCCTCACCTTACATCCCTCGCAGGTGATCACGCCGTAGTGGATTCCCGAGGACTTGTCCCCGCAGATCTTACAAGGAATGACTTCGATTTGCGCTGTGGAACAGAAAAAATATATTCACGCGTCGTATTTTAACCACTTGCGGCCCGGAGCAATTTCTTACATTTGCACACACATGATAAAATCTGAATTTCTGGCTAGAAAACAGCTTCAGATCCCCAAACAATGACATATGTTCTGAAAGCAGAGGCCCCGTAGAATAAAAAGAGGCTAGTTGCAATTTTTTTATGGCGCGCGGCATTTGCGCAAATGTTTATCAAACCAGTATTTTTAGGTTAAAATACACTAAAATGAAATTTGGCGCACAGAAACAGAATATAATGCCCAATTGTTTGGTAAAATATAAAAGACGGGGGTCACGCCGGGTAAATAGATACCAAACATGTCAAGCGTTAAAATTAGGGATGCACCGATACCAGTATTTTGGTACCGAGTACCGATATTTATTTTTCGGTACTCACCAATACCAAGTACCGAGTACCGGAAGTCCCATTCAGGAAGCCAGGTGGCGATGACGAGGGAGCATGAAGCCGGCTTCCCGGCCAATCAGAATGCCGGGCGCTGCATCACTACACGGCGCCCAGCTTCCTGATTGGCCAGCTTCCCGACCAACCAAGAAGCCGGCCAGCGAGTCATTACACGCTTCCCGGCTTCCTGATACCGGAAGCTCAAGTATCGGTATTGGTGCATCCCAATGTAATATATTGCAGCTTATCAGTCCTTTTGATGGGGTGGCTGCCTTAGTTTTTTCCTTTATTTTCACCTGGTGATCCTGCCAGTAACACACTTCCTGTCCCAGGGTGGCTATCGGCACGCTTTATCTATGGAGGAGCAGTGTTGTCACCTTGATTTGGACTACAGTCACCTCCCCCTTTACCTCCCTTATTGCCAAAATTGAAAAGCAGAATCGAGGGTCGAATGGGCGGTGTGACCCCCAACTAGGGACTACTACCCCCACCGCTGTTTTCCCTAAGGAGACCTTCTTGCTGAACCAAACACCTCCCACTTCCCCCGAGTCCGCGGCAGAGGGACTTGTAGTTCTCTGTTGCAAAAAAAAAATGGCTGTTTTTTATTTGATTATTTTGTATAATTTTTTTAAGTCTTCGTTCTAATTTTGTCTCGCTAGTTTCCACTGCCTAGCCCTCCCACGCGCCGCCGTGTTCCCAGGACGTCTCGCCTCGGCCGCCGCTGAGTGCGCAACCCCCCCTGCGCGGAAAGCACCTTTTTTTCACCCGGGGTGGAAAGTGTTAAGACTGAAAGTGTCGACGAGAAGCTTCGGCAGTCGTCGTGTGCCAACCAGCCGCTGCACTTCCCACCCGCTGCATAAAAAAAACCTCAGACATCCGGACTCGACTTACTCATCGCCACCGCCAAGCTCCGGAGGCTGCGGCGCCGCTGTTTGCATCGCAGTTCTCGGCTCGGCGTTGGGAGCTGGGTACGGCGGGAATGATACAATTACAACTTTGACACCAACTTAACGGGCAACAGTTGCGAAGAGAGTGGGCAAGAGCCTCCATTTCCCATAAGTCTTGCTGAAAATTTGCATATGGGGGGGGTCATGTGACTCAGCCTTCATTTGCATAAAACTCTTTTTTTCTGACTTTAATACGGGACGTCTTTAACCCTTTCAGATGCCGCTGACGAGTGGGCGCCCAGACCGCGACTAATTTGCCTATCAGAGTCATTTGTTTTATTGTGATTGGCTTAAAAAATGTACCAAAAAAATATTATTTTTTTTGAATTTAATAACTTTATATTTTTCGGCGCACGCACAGTCAGCACACAGTCTGATCGTCAGGGCGATGTGGGGTCATTTACTAAGCTATAACGGGCATTGTGATCACATGATCTGGAGCCGCTTCGGTCGATTCCCGAGCTGTCGGTGACGCTTGTTGGCGCACCGGTGCCGTCGCCTAGATGTGACGGGGCAAGCAAGGGAATGGTAAGCTACAAATTAGGGTCTGGAACCGGTTCGAAGGGGTGTCAGAGGAGATGGGAAACCCTTTTACGCCAGTTCACCATTCATTAAGAAATAGGGATGAGCTCAGCCTGCTCTGAACGTTGAATCCGAAAAGAAGCTCTTTCCACTGCCACCCAATCAGCTTCGCCGGGGAATTCCCCACCCACAGCTGCACGTAAAGCAAAGGCATTGACCTTATATGGCCACATGGCTATGTTTGGTCAATGCCATTGACCTTATATGGCAATGTGGCCATATATGGTCAATGTGGCCATATATGGTCAATGATGTAAGTGCAGGCATGCCGTCCCTTTGTTTATGTGCAGCTGCGAGGAGGGAAATGCCCCAGCCCGCAGCTGATTGGGCAGGTGGCTCCATGTCTCTTCCGGGTTCAGAGGAACTCCGGGTTGAGCTAAGTTCAGTCCACACCTGAGCACCGCCAAACCCAAAAAGGAAGCTCCTTGGAGAAGCATCATTGTCACCTTGGGAGATGACTACAGAAAACCTCCCCCTATGTCATGGAGAAAAGGAGGCTGAGGTTTTCTGTAGTCATGTCCTAGGATGACAATGCTCACTAACTGTACTGTGTCCATGGAGAAGTAGCATAGTCAACCTAGGAGACCTAAAACCTAGTGAGACTACCGCACACCTCCCTTTAGGTTATGAAGAAGAGGAGAGGGCGGTGTTCTGTAGTGCTCCCCTAAGATGGCATTACTCGCTGTACTGTGTCTATGGAGAAGTATCATAGTCAACCTAGACCTAAAACCTAGTGAGACTACAGCACACCTCCCCATAAGGTTATGAAGAAGAGGAAAGAGGGGTGTTCTGTAGTCCTGTCCTAGGATGACAATGCTCAGTCACTGTATTGTGTCTATGGAGAAGCATTATTGTCACCGTAGGGCAGCACTATAGCCCCCATTTGAGAAAATGAGTGGGGGGGATGTGTTCTGTAGTCCCATTCTAGGGTGACAACACTGCTCTTCTGTAGATACAGTACAGTGAGGGTTGTCACCCTAGGACAGGAAGTGCATTACTGGTGGATCACTAGGTAACAATTAAGGGATATAAGCCCCCCCATAAAAAGAAAATGAATGCAGCCGCCACATTTACGGACTGCCAAGCTGTGACATTTTTCACCTGTGAAATCTGCACTTTGGCGGCGTCTATTTTTGGGGTATTCCGTTGGGCCGTACATAGACAAGATTGGCCCTTTGATCTGGTTGGGATCCTTGTTATTTGCGTCCCGCGGTCGCCGGTTACCTCCAGGTGCTCAGAGACGATGTCATAATCTCAAAAGAGAACGTTGGAGAACAGAAGGCGACAACTAGAGGATCTGCAGCTGCTTTTGTCTCCAAAAATAGGACCTTAGCGGGGGGGTTACATCGCGGGGAAGAAGGGACGGGGCTTGTCACATGTACAATGGGGTCTGTCAACAGAGAGGTCTGATGAAGCACTCTTCGTACTTCCTGTTGTGTCACCAAGACAGGATGTAAGAGGAAATGTCCCCAACGGGGACACAGGCAGGGCCGGATTTACTCTCTCTGCTTTCCCAAGGCCAGGTTCCTCAGTGCGCCTCCCTGCCAATCTTATCTCAACATAACTGCCCTTTTACTTCTTCCAATAATCCAATCTAAACAATGATTACCCTTTGTATCACTGGCCCCTCCTACTAGATTGTAAGCTCTCATGCGCGTATTGTCCTGAAATTGTATTGTCTCCTACATTTTGTAAAGCGCTGCGCAAATTGTTGGTTCTATATAAATAATAATAATTTGTTTTATCAATTTTTTTTGTTTCACTTAACTTTATTGCTATCACACAGAAGTGAACAAGCCCCTGTGTGATAGCATTTGCAGGTGACAGGTTCTCTTTATTGAACCTGTCACTTCCAATATAGGTGCTCTAGCATGGCACTGTGCTGGCTCTCCTGTGACAGGTAAGAGGGGGAAGGGCTGTGAGTGCTGCTCTCCCCTCCTACTGTATACAAGGAGCGGAGAATGGACGTTCTCCGCTCTCTCCATCCTGAAGATCTCCGGAGAGAGGCGGTCAGCGAGGAGAGAGGTACACAGGACAGGGGACGGACAGCCTGCAGTCTTATCACAAGTGATGTTGGCGACATCGCCGAGATCACTTGTAAGCGAACATGCGGCTTCCACACTCTACATTTAGCCCTGCTTGCCCAAAGTAGAAAACAACTACTCGCCTGGCGCCCAGAACTGACTGTCCCGGGCGTCGGGAGATTCCACACCCCTGCTGGGCCTTGTCGGAAATCTGGCCCTGGACACAGGTACCAGTAAATATTTGATAGCATTCTGACCCTTCCTTGCTCTCAGGGTCAGGCTTACCCCCACCCATAGGAAGAAGAGGTAAGCCTTGGGCGCAGTGGCCATATAAGGTCAATGACATCACAGCACCCCGCCCCTTTGCTTACATGCCAATATTAGGTAATTGTCATTGACCAAATATAGCCACTTGGACATATAAGGTCAATGATGTCACTACAACAGCTGATTGGGCGGCAGCAGCTCATCCTTATAGTGAATGCGTCACTAGTGTAATAGGGATCACTATCCTCTCTGACGTCCTTCTGAACCAGTTCCAGATTCCATTCCTCAGCATTCCCTGTCACATCTAGTGATAGCACAGGGGCGCCAACAAGCGCACGCTCCTAGCTGTGAGACCAATCGGTGCGGCTCCAGATCATGTGATCGCCACGTCTGCTATCACACAGCAATCACATGAGGGTTGTTAGTAAACAAGCCTACGTCACCCCAAAGGTCAGCGAGGTCTCTGTGCTTCCTTCCGGGTCCAACCAGAACTCATCCTGACTCCTCCTACCCTCCGGTCCTGGGTTGGGTTGTAGCCGTACCGGTCTACCTTTGTACTGTACAGCGCCGAGCGACCTATACATCCCGAATATTATTATTACTTGTAATCAGATTAGTCATCATGGTGATTATTATAATAATATTTGTAATAATAATAATACTGGAAGTGATAATATTAATACAAAATAATTATGATGATTGATAATAAAAATAATGATGATTATAATAGTAATATTAATTTTGACTA